TCCTCCATATCATTTTTGTATAGATTATTAGGACTAAAATTGATTTCTGTAGCCTCTGATTTTTGTGTTTTTTCTTTTTCCATTTGGGATCGGGCTTCTCTAAGAAGTCATCTAGTTTCAATTGAGTTTTTAAGCTCTACATAGTCTTTTTTAATGTGACCTTCTTTTTCACAGTAAAAACAGATTTTCAGAGCTTCTTTCCATTCTGTTGTTACTTTATAGTTTCCAACATGAGTAGTTCTAGGAATTCTTGAGGCAATTTCTGAGTTATCTGTAGTTTTAAATGTAACTAACCATTGATCTGAGCAGACCGTAGTCCCTTTGTAGAAGAAAGGTTTAATGGATGCTATTTGACCAACATCTTGAAAGGCTTCTAGAATATGGTTGCTGATATATTAGATATTACTCATAGGGGTGTTCTTTACTTTTATGATTAAAAAGATCAATTGAGGTTGACAGAAATATATCCAAACAGTATTTGTTTGAAGAGAGTAATGCCTTCAGCCGCATAGTATTGCACTTTATCCTTATTTTTAAGGACAAGTTCTAGATAGATTCTTTTCTCTCTTGAGTTGTGAGTTTTTTCTGTGATAAGATCTTCCTTTAAACTCATAGCCAAAGCTGTGATGATATCATTAGTTGGTATGTTATTCAGATTTTGAATATCAACAACTAATACGTTTTTGTTTTTAGAATGAATTTTTTATCTGAAAGTAGAGTTAGTATAAACTGCCTTTCCTCCTTTTAGTTTTGCAAATAGATCAGACCACTGTTTAGGTTTGGTTTCTTCATTTTGTTTGCCTTGTACTTTAGATGTGTTAGACGAAGATGATCCTACTGGCATGGTTGGGCACACAGAGGTTGATTGGTCCTCAGAAGACACGTAAATCTTTTGTTTATTGTTTATATTATTTATGTGTTTTGTTGTGCTTGAGTGATCTTCACATGTTTCTTGTTGACTAAGAGTGATTTCACTCTCATTTCTTTTCTCAGTTGTTTCTTCCATTTCCACCTGATTTACCCAGTCTATATTGGACTTATTGAGAGTTAAATCTGCTAAAACATCTGTTTCTAGCTTAGTGATATTATCTTTATTGTTATTGCAGTTGTTCTCAGGTTTCTTGTTATTTTTTTTTGTTTTCTTCAGTTTTTGCAAAGTCAAAAACTTTATCATTGTTTGAAGAAAGTCTGGCCTTCTTGTTGTTTGGTTGTTTACCCATGTCTAGGGTAATATGTTTATGCTTTCTGGACACTAAGATCAAGTTGTGTTTGTACCAAAATTTTGTTTTTAGTATAAATTCTGAAAGTAAACCGGAAAGAGTTTTTAATAAAATTTTTTTAACTGAAGTATTTGTATACTGATATAACAAATTTTTAATATTTGAAAAGATTAAAACTAACTCAAATTACTTTGAGTAATATTAATTAGAATTTCAAATAAAATCGAATAATATCAGTATAATGTTTTTAATTCATTATAATTGGCCCAATATTTGCTGAGGTATAATAATTATAATAATTGCGCAACATTTTGAATTAATGTACAAAAAATTAAGATAAAGCAATCTTAGTGAATATTGAATCAATTATGATAAATTAAAACAATATGCTAAATAATATACAGAAAATAGATTCAAATTGAATGATTGCAAATTTTCTAAGATATCTTTCCTATTTGTTCTTTTTTAAATCATGAGCAATATTATACATCAATCGAAATACTTATGTAATATTAAGGTTTTAAAAATTTGCTGATGTAATGAAATCAAGAAAAACTATACATAGTCAAAAATAAAACTCTTTTTGATGATCACTTAAACCAAGACCGCACCTAAACAGTTTGAAGATTCAAGGTCCTAAAAAGTCCAAAGATACCAGAGGTTTCTTATTGATACTGTTATTAATGAAGACTTATATGTAAAACACTGAGAAGCAGGATATATATAGTTGGTTTGTGCTCTGGGTCAAACTTTTTTTCTTGGTAGACTCCCTTGCACAGCAAAAAGGCCTTATTGCACTTACAATCGCCTCATCACGAATTGCTTCTTTAATAATGCCTAGAGTGTGTATGGCATATTTTCGATTCAAGATTCCTGTACCCATTGATACAGATGCAACATGCAATTTTAACAAACAAAGTAAGATTGCATGCTTACTCCACTTAGCAAAACTTATTATTTGGGATAAGGCTCTTATGACAAATGTTATGCTATAGAAGCTTTGAACTGATTGTTAAAAGATGTTATAGGAAATCATCTTCCTTTTGGTGGTAAGGTAATTGTATTTGGTAAGGACTTTCACCAAGTTTTACTAGTTGTTCAACAAGAAACGAGAGGCCAAATCGTTAATGCTTTCCTGAATAAATTGCCTTTGTGGTCTGTTATCAAAGTTTTTCATCTGCAAACAAATATGCAGATGGAAAATAATGATCAGTCTAACAACTTTATGAATTTTTTACTGCGAATTGGTGATGGTAGTGAATCAGCTATTAATAGTGATATGATTAAAATTCCTGATCAGATGATAATACTATGGCTAAATGAGCAAGATTCATTACAGAATCTTATTGAGTCTATATACCCAAATTATCTGAAAATGGCTATGACAATAAACATATTATTAATAGTGCAATTTCAACAACTAAGAATGAGTACATTGATTACTTGAATAAAAAAATCATCGAGCAATTTCCTAGAACTTCCAAACCATTTTATGCTTATGATTCAGTACTTAATGATATGAATAATATCTATCAGACCAAATTTCTTAACTCTCTAACACCTAATGGTCTACCACCTTATGAATTAATGCTTAAAGTTGGTGACCCCATTATATGTTTATGCAATTTAGATTCAAAAATAGGCTATACAATGGGACAAGATTAATTTTTTGCACATTTTATAAGAATGTTATTGATGCCAAAATAGCTATAGGCAAACATTGTAGCAAAAGAGTTTTCCTGCCTAAAATTTCATTAATACCTTTACAAGATATCAAACTGCCCTTTATTTTAATTTTCGGTTAGACTTACTTTTGTATTAACAATAAACAAATCACAGGACCAAACCATACCTCATGTTGATCTCTATCTGCCTGAGCATATGTTTTTCTATAAACAATTAAATGTGGCGTTCTCTAAAGTTAGATCTGTTAATAATATAAAAGTTTTAGTAAAAGACAGAAAGATCACAGGAAGACAGAGGATTTAGATGTTAATATAGTATATAAAGAGGCATTATGCTACTAAATATATAAATCTTGAATGAATCATTTTTATTGAAAAATTTGAAAAACAAAGTAGTTTGTTTATTTTTAATAACTTTCCATGAAAATTATCATAAATTTGTGTATATAGTTATAATTAGAGTAATGTATAGAAAAGAATTATTAATGTAATTCAAACACAACAAAATACTGGTTATTAAATTTATTAGGTGTTTTTTTAACTTCAAATGGCCTAATATTTTTTATTAAAAGATATTTTAAGCAGATCACATTACTGTAAACTTT